GAGGGGGAGGAAACAGAAAGAAGGGGATAAAAGGAGGAAGACAGAGCTGGGCGCAGTGGCTCATGTCTGTAATCCTAGCAGCTTGGGAGGCTGAGGCAGGAGGATCACGAGTTCAAGGTCAGCCTCAGGAATTTAGCAAGGCCCTATATTTTAAAAGGGCTGGAGGTGTGGCTCAGGGATTAGGTGGCCCTGGGTACAAAAAAAAAGTAAGGAGACAGATGCAGGGAACCAGAACGGAGAAGTGCAGGCCTCGGAGGCCAGAGGCTGGCGGCAGGGTCCCAGGCCTGGTTTATGGGGGCAGAAGTTCCACTGCGGCCCGTGTCGCTCTGGGGCATGCTGCAGACCCCAGCGCCCCAGCTTTGCTCAGTTCCCACCCCCCAGCCATCTCCCCTCCACCCCGAGTTCCAGTTCTGGTGGGGACACCCCCTCCCCTGCCACCCACCTAGACTGTCCCCCTTCACGAGTCTCCAACAGTCTTCCGGCCTCGCTCCTCATAGCCCACCCTCCCGGGGACCCTCCCCCGCTCACCCATGTGCCACCTCGTGCCATCACCTCCCTGCCTGAAGCCTGGGTCAGATGTCATCTCTTCCTTGAAGGCCTCTTTGAACCAGCCCAGTTGAGCTGAACCCCCGCCTCTGGGCCACCTATCGAGTGGGGACAGTCACACCCCAGGCAGGTGCTGATCCTGCTGCCTGTGTCTCTCTGCAACCTTTTGTCACACCCGCACGTGAGGTCCCACATTCGGCCCTGATGACAATCCCTGAGTCAACCTCCGTGCTGGTGTGTGACAGTTGGCCTGGGCCCCCCTCCGAATAAGCCTGTTCAGGTGACGTCCCTCCATCCCACACTGTCCTTTGGGCTGGAACTCGCAAAACTTGGTCGCCCCAAGGTGACCTTGGTGAGGCCACTCTATGCACTTGCTTCAGCTGGACTGGGAGTCCCACGGGGGCAGGGACGGGGTCCTCATGTCCCACGCAGAGCTGGGACACCGCCTGGTTCACCAGGGTTTGTTTGCACTGAATTTAATCCGTCTCTGTCCCACAAAAGGGAACTCATACCCGGAAAGTTCCAGAACTGCTTTCTTTATTTCTTTCCAGTGGTTCCGGGACTGACGTGACCCTGCTTTTGTCACCGTTATCAGCAAAGTGTCCCTGGAATCCGGAGGAGGTGGGGGCAGATGGAGGCATGAGGTTTCCCCCCCTCCCTTGTCCTCTGCCCGACCTCTGTTGACTCACTCTCAAGCCACGGAGTTTGTTTGCAGATCAAAAAAAAAGAAAGAAAGAAAAACATATTCAGTGTAAAAAGAATTTTTCTTGTTTTCTTAAATTTTGAAAAACACCAAGAAAATGGCAAAAGTCACCCAGTGGATCACATCATCAAAAAACAAATACGGTCACCTGATGGGTGCACTCCTTCCAGAATGTTCTCTAGAGGAAAAAAAAAAAAATTTTTTTTAATGAAAACAGAGGGAACTGTTTTCCGTGTTGGTCCAGCTCGGTCGCCCTGCAGTGACCTGTGGCCCAGGTTTATTTGATGAATTGCCTGTTACTGGACATTAAGCTGGCCCCACTTGGGGACGATCATAGCTAAGGACGCAGGCTGAGTCCCGCAGCTCTCTCCTCCCGATCCTCTGCAACGCCCTTGGCAGAGCCCACGTGCCCTGGGCCCACAGCGCGGTGCCTCATGGCGTTGAGCGGCTCCCAGTGCAGACAGCAGAGCCCGTCACACCTGGTGGCATTGGCCACGTGGGGCGCAACGTCCTTATTTGACAGCTGGGGACACTGAGAGATAAGAGCTGGCTTATCCAAAATCAGCCCCAGGGAGTGGCCGACTCCACGTCACCAAGAGACCTTCTCCCCACTCTGTCATCTCTTTAAGATTTTACCACCGACCCCATAATCTCCAGGGGACCTGGGGCGGGGTGTGGGACGCGGTGTGGGTGGGATGTGGCCGGGGTGTGGCGTCTGTCCTGCTCGGGACAGGCCTGGCTAATCCACCCGACACCCAAGGCCGTCATCAGCCGGTGGTCTTCCTGCCCCTCTTGACCCCTTTGTCTCCAGCTGACTCAGTGTCCCCTGCATGAGGGACCCAAGAGCTGCGAACCTGTTCTTGGCCCCCTGGCTGCACCGTGGCAGGGCCCGATCCTTGGTGCACACCGTCGCTGCGTTGTAGGGCCTAGAATGACACATGAGTTTTCAGATCCAGTTCCAGCAAATGCTAGTGCCCATCAGGGTGCAGCAAGAAGCGCCCTGCTAGGGTCAGGTGAGCAGGAAAGGCCTTTCCAAGGAGGGGACTCTGAAGCTGAGGCTTGGCAAATGAAAAGAAGCCAGCAGAGGCGGGAGAGGGGAGAACGGCAGCAGGCTCCGCATGTGCAAAGGCCCTGAGGTGGGAATGAAAGGCACAAGGGGCAAAGTGGTGAGAGATGAAGTTTGAAGGGAGAACAGCAACCGACCACGACGGGTCTCCCAGACCCTGGTTCTCACATGAGAGCAACGGAGCCTTGGAGAGTCCTCACGGGCAGAGGAGTGGGGAGTAACGCCTTGAGAGCTAACTGGCTGTGCGCAGAGCTGGACTTTAAAGGGGACCAAAGGTGGAGACAGGAGACCAGAGAAGGGGAATGAATGAGTGAATCATGGACATCCCTCTAGGCAGAGGGCGACCCACGGCCTACGAGGGTGAAGAGCTGGTGCTCTGAGTCACCCTCCCGGGGGCAGCTCCCTGCAGACGCTGCCTTCTGAGTCAGGTCTCGAAGGTGGCCGTCGGCTTCCCAAGTACCAAATTCTCTGAGGTGCCAAGGATCCCGTGGCCTCCTCTGTGACCTTGAGTCGGTCCCCAGTGGAGGAGGAGAGCCCGGGGGAGGAAGCCACTCTGCTGAGGCCGCAGATGCCCCCAGAGAGCCAGGTGCCTGCGGGGCCTTGGGACTCCAGAGGCTGCCCTCCGGCTCCCGTGGGCGTCAGTGAGCCTGGGCGGGGGCCGGTCCCTGGTGCTTGCAGACCCCAGCCCAGGCCAGGGCTGGAGGCAGGAAGCAGCGGCCGACAGGGGCCCAGACCCTGGCTCAGCCTCCAGCACCCACAGAGGGGCATTGTCCGTGGGCAGCAGCCGTGGCCAGCGGGGAGCCGCCGCGGGGCGTGTGCCTCCCTGGAGATGTGCCCAAGGCGCTGGCAGGGTCCTTCCGGGGAGTCCTGGCTCCGGAGCTTCCTCCTCAGGGACTCGGGGCCTTTGGCAGGTTCACAGACGTGGCCGGGCGACAGACGCTCTGTGCCTTGTTCCTCTTGGCAGCACCAAGCAGAGGGGGCTAGCCAGGGCCGATTGCACGCCCTGACCCCAGGACGTCCCCTGCCCCGTCTGGTCCCCCTGCAGATTGAGACAGGACCCAGCGATGACCACAGCCCTAAGCCACAGCAACTGGCCCTAGACAGGTCGGCCACCAGGACGAAGCTCCAACGCCAACCCGGAGCCCGGGGGAAGAGCAGTGTGTGGTCAAGTGATGGGGTCTGCACGCAGCCATCCTGGTCACGTGACCTGGAGCAAGTCACTGTCCTCTCTGAGCCTCATGCCCTCAGGAAAACCCAGGGCCACTGTTGGGGAGCAGTGGCACCCACCTGTAATCCCAGGGACTCCAGAGGCTGAGACAGGAGGATCCCAATCTTCAAGGCCAGCCTCAGCAACTTAGCGGGGCCTTGTCTCCAAAAGGGCTGGAGACCTTGCCCAGTGGTTAGCGCCCCTGGGTTCAGTCCTCAGCACCAAAATAAATAAATTTAAAAAGGGCTGCTGATTCCCCATCCTGTCCCTCCTCCCCCCTCCCCCCGCAGGGTGACATCTGGTTCAGCGGGGCCTGGGACCAGGTGGGCAGGATGGGGCTTCGGCAGGGCTGTTTGCTCCTGTGAGTCCAGTCAAGCCTCATTTTCCTTCCACTCCACAAATCCTCACGACCTTCCTGTTGAGACATGACGGACAAGGTCAGGTGGTGCTCAGTGCTGCAGAAAGCCGGAAAGCCCTGGTGCCAAGTGCTGTGTGGGCAGCACCTTGGTTCATGCCCTTCAGGGGCTGGGAGGAGATGCTACCATCATCCCCATTCTGTAGATGAGGTCATGGAGGCCCAGAGAAGTGAAGCACCTTGCCCAGAGATACACAGCAAAGAAGTGGCTGAAATGGGGTTTAAACATATGCTCTTAGGGTCTTAAATTAATGGAGATTGGCCGGGCGTGGTGGCGCACTCCTGTAATCCCAGCGGCTCAGGAGGCTGAGACAGGAGGATTGCAAGTTCAAACAAGTTCAAAGCCAGCCTCAGCAAAGGCGCACTACTAAGCAACTCACTCAGTAAGACCCTGTCTCTAAATAAAATACAAAATAGGGCTGGGGATGTGGCTCAGTAGTCGAATGCCCCTGAGTTCAATGGCAGGTATCCCCCCCCACTGCATTCCTCTCCACACTCCAGGAGAGCTGCTAGGAGTTGCCCATTTTGCAGGTGGCAACACTGAGGCTCAGAGATGTAATTGACTGAACCCTGAGTCACACAGAATGGAAATGGTAGAGCCAGGATTTGAACCCAGTCTAGCTCATGACACCTCTGTGTCCACCATGCTGTGTAGACATCCCTAGGAGGATTTAAAAGTCAGAGTTCTTCAAATTCTGGCCCTGCCATTTGCCAACCATGGAGTCTGCCCCTCCTGGGCACAGTCAGGACAACCGACCGACCCCGGATGGAGCTGAGGCCCCACCAATGTAACAAACGTAGAACTGGAGGTGGCACTTGTCCTGTCCAAGGTGCTCATTCCTGTCACTGTTACTGTTCTCATTGTGTCCCATGGGGGTGACTGCCTGGGCTAGCTGCTGCATGTGCCCTAGTCCCGCCCCCCACCCCCCACGCCTGCTGGGACCCTCCTTTCTCAGGTCTCAGGAGGCTGGAGGCCGGAGGCTGCGTCTGGGAAGGGCTCCACTTGACCAAGAGCCACAAATATTTACCTTGGAGACCTCGGCCCAGCCCGGCGCCTCCGCCCACACTCCCAGGGTGGCGTCTGGGGCCGGACGTGCAGGATATAAGCCTAGATCTCCAGTCCCACTGCCCAGGACAGGAGAGGACCGGCAGAGCACCCGGCGTGTCCAGGTACAGGGCAGGGTAGTTCTGCTCAGTTCAGGATGGACGACAGGCGTCGCCACTCAGCCAGGGGGACCCTCCAAGGGTGAGGGCCAGGGGCAGAGAGGTGCCAGCTCCCTGGTTCTGAAGGCCAGAGGGCAGGGATAAGGGGAGGGGACAGTCTGAGGGGTCTCTGTGACACAAACCTGCCCTGCACACCCAGTGCTCTGAGCCCGAGCTGTGCAGGGGTGACAAGAGGACAGAGGAGGACCAGGCAGAGAGCCCAGGGATGCCCAGTGTGGCCAACACAGGCTCCAGAGGCCAGGGACGGGGCGTGGGGAGGTCAGAGAGGGCTTCCTGGAGGAGGTGGCGTGGCCCTCGCTAGGAGGAGCGCAGGGCCTTCCTGCCGGGGATGTGGCGTGGCCGGGGCTCCTGGGCAGAGCAGCACGCCTGCGGTCCCCTCTGTCCTCTGGCCCTGACTGCGAGCCGCTCCTTCCGACGCCACTATCAGCAGTAAGCGCCATCGTCCCCTTCCTCGTTGTAGCTGCATTTATTAAACCCTTGTCTCCGCCGAGCCTCGAGGTGTGTGTACCACGGTTTCCCCATTTCACAGCCGAGCACCCTGGGAGGCGCAGAGAGGGCGAGTCGCCCGTCCACCATCACAGAGCGGGGTGGAGGCAGACCTCCTGCGTGGGTCTGGCTCTGAAGGCCAAAGGGCAGGGTGGTCCCCCTGCATCCCCGGGCTCCTGACGCTCAGGATGGCCCTGTGGCTCACAGGGGACACGCCAGCCCAGAGCTCCTCAGCACAGGAAGCTCAGACTCCTGGTCCCCCCAGGGTCCCCAAGTGCCCGTTAGTGGGCGGGTCTCTGTGTGCGGGCTCTGTGCTGGGCACCCGGGACGCGGTGGGGAGCAGCAGCCCAAGGCCTCCCTGCCAAGCTCAGGGCCTGGTCAGGGGGCAGGGTCAGAGCAGGACGTCTCAGAAGAGCCCCGCTTCCCAAGCCACAGCACCCTGTGCCACCCGGATGCCACCTTTGTCTTTGGCAACAAGAGCACACACACTGAGCCAGCCAAGGGCTTGGGCCTCTGGGTCCACAGGGCTCCTCTGTCCAAGCAGGACTGTCCACAGGGGGCAGCTCCGAAGGGCTGTGGGGCAGAGCAGGCTGTGAGCTGAGAGCTCGGGACAGGTGACAGGCGCCGGCCCGCTGTATCAAGGAGGGCACAGAACACCCATAGCTCCTCTCCCTTGCCCACAGCCCCTGTGTCGGCCTGTCTGTCTGTTCCTCTCTGTCTCTCCCTGGCTCCACAAAGCCACCCCCCCTCCTGGGTCCCCTCGCCATTACACATTAAGAAGGTGACCTTCTGGGCAGGCTTTGATGGATAGGAGCCCACCAGGCAGATTTGGAAGGAGCCAAGCCCTCTGGGAAGAATCAGAGCACAGGCTCGGACCTGCCAGGCTGGGCAGCTTGGAGGGGCTGGAGTGTGATGGAGTGGGAAGAGACAAGCAGGGTGCGGGGGCCTCGGGGGCTGACCGCGGAGGGCTCTGAGTGCCGGACTGATGGGCCGGGCCAGGGGTGGCCAGAGGGCTTCGCCCTGACCGTCGCTGGTGGGTTTTCTGTAAGGAAATAACAGACATCCCCACGCGCTCTCCACGGCCTCCCTCCCTCCGTCCTGCGGGCTGGGGAGGTGCTCACTGCGGGCAGGTGGACTCTCCACGGCCACACGACACTGCCCAGCGAGGGGCCGCTCCTGGCCACGCTCCCCAGGTTGGTGGGCATCGCAGACCTGCCCTGGGCCTCCTGCCCTACTTGGAGGGCTCTCTGTCCCCCCAGGCTCTGCCACCTGCCACCTGCCACAACTACACCTGGGAAGATGGCCGTGCGGTGGACCGCCACCCTTCTCTGTGGCTTGCTGGCTGCCACCTTGGCTCAAGCCACCTTCAGCGCCCCTGCAGTCCTCAACCTGGGCCCAGACGTCATCAAAGAAAGTAAGTCTCAGCTGAGCCTCTTGCGGCCACCAGGAGGTGGGGACAGGTGGAGCAGACTCCACCAGGGGCCTGGCCTCCCTAAGGGAGCAGGACTGGGAGTGTGAGAGGGCCAGCCCTGGAGGTCCCCGCTGCCTCCGGTCTCGAGAGCCCCCTATGCCAGGTCCCTTTCTCAAAGCCCACTGTGCTGGGGCCCTGTGACCTGCAGAAGGGACATGTGGCCACTGTGTGCTGTGATCCTGCTCCCGCCCTGCCCTGGCCTGGGACCCCTGACGTCAGGGTGCGCTCCCTGGCAGGCCCAGCCCTCCCAGCCCTCGACCAACGGCCCCAACAGGGAACCTGGAGGCCTGGGGTCCGCACATGGCCTTGTCACTCTCCAGCTCTGTGACCCTGGGCACATCCCTGAGCCTTGACTTCCTCTCTGGAAACAGATAGGAGGCCGTCGTCGCGGGTGTCACGGACACCCAAGAGCACAGTTCCCACTCCATGGGTCTGTCCTGCGCGCGGGGGAGGGGGGTGCCTTTGGCAAAACCCTCCACACAGGGACAAAGTGAGGCCACAGCCCCACAGTGTGGCCCCAGAGAGGGGTGTCGTCAGCTCTGGAGGGCCACCTGAAGCTCTTGGGGACCAGAGCAGTCCATGGAGCTGAGCCAGGGCTGGTGGCTGGATCCGAGGGGCATGGGGAGCAGAGAGCCGGGGACGGGTGTGGGGAGGGGACGCCTGGGCCAGGCTGCGGAGGCCCAGGCACAGCCCTGACCAGGAGGAGCCTGGAGTGGGCGGTCACGGCCAGAACCCAGGAGCTGACTGCACCTGGAGGGTCTGAGAGGAGACCCCGGGATCTCTGCAGGACAACAGGGAGGAAGCTGGGGAGGAGGACACGGCCCAGGACGGCCGGCCCATGGCCACTGCGGGGGCTAGAACTCGGTCCTGCCGGGCAACTGTTAGTAGGGGCCAAGCAGCAGACAGAGCCATGCCCACACCCCAACAGGTGGATGAGAGCAGGACTACCAGGGGGTCGGAGGGATGGGGACAGGCTAAGAAGAGAGAGAGAGAGCCTAGAGGGTACCCAGGGACGAAGGGGACTCAAGGACAGAACGAAGGCAGAGCAGGGCGCCCCCAGACCTCGCTGGAACGGTACAGTTGAGGCACACTGCACTGTCCCCGGTCAGTGCTGCTCACAGCCGGCCACCGGAGGCTAACGCACACAGAGCCACCCAGGGCCCCATGACATTTTCTGGAAGCTGCGGCTGGAGGAAGCGGGTCACAGGGAACCCCTGGGAGACCATCTCTGGGACACGGCCTGCAAGCTCCCCAGGGGCCCACAGAACTCACCCCCAACCCTCAGCAGTGTGACCATGGCCCGGTGTCACAAGGCAGTGCCACCACAGGGTGGCAGGGGGGAGGTTATACCCCAACCAAATGTCCTGGGGCTGCTAGCGAGAGAGCCTGGAGGGACCAGAACCAGGGCCCTGAACCGCGGCCCCTGAGGGGCTTTGGTCCACAGGCCCTGGGACACAGATGCCAGCATCGTAAGCACCTGTGGGCGGCCAAACTGCCCCAGCGGGGACTCTGGTCCCCCTGCCTCTCGTGCTGGATGCCCTGGCCAAGGCTCCCGGCAGAGCCTGGGGTCTGAGTGGCCCCACCTCCCCTCAGCCTCACTCCTCATGGTGGGTCCCCATCCTCAAGGCCACAGCTGCCCAGGTCAGAGTGGGGGTGGTCACACCCTCACCCGACGTCAGGATCTGAGGAGCCCCGAGTGACAGCCCTCCCTGGCCTGGAGCCCCCCCAGCGACCCGTTTCTTGCCCCTCCTCCTGGCCCCTGAGTCTGGATGTGCCCCCAGGGCTGACTCAGAAGCTGAAGTATCACGATGCCACCGCCATACTCCAGCAGCTGCCGCTGCTCAGCGCCATGCGGGAGGAGTCCTCCCGGGGCCTGCTGAGCGGCCTCAAGGACACCATCATGAAGCATGTCATCTGGTAAGTGGAGCCGGACCAGGACCCTCCTCCCACGCCCCTGCCCACAGGACTGCCAGGGGTCGAGGAGGGGGCAGGCTGAGAAGAGAGAGAGCCTAGGGGGTGCCCACTGAGCTGAGGGTCCACAGCCCTCAGGCCACACTGACCCCGCGTCCCCCCGCTGTGGAGAGTGGATGGGACAAGTCCCTCCCTCCAGGGGCTCCCAGAGCAGCCAGAGGTGGCACAGAGAGGGACGCAGGAACCCTGAGAGGGCGACTCCAGAAGAAGGGGGCCTGAGAGGCGAGAATGAAGGGACGAGGGGACGCCTCCCAGTAGAGGGGACAGCTGAGCCAAAGACCTGAAGAAAGTGGCCTTCCAGGAAGGGGGACCAGCCTGGGCAAAGGCATGGAGTGGGGACAGCAGAGCAGAGTGGCTGAGGTCACAGCAAGGAGCAAGAGTCCACAGGGCCAGGTCCCAGGGAGACTTGAGGGTCCGCCAAGAAGCGGAGAGTCACCTCCTAAAGGGCGAGGAGCCATCGTAGAGTGCGGCAGACACAGGTGGAGGACCGTGATGGGCAAGACCAGGCTGGAGAGGAGCCACTGGACAGGGCCTGGGATCCTGTCACTGGCCATGCACCCAGGAAAGACAGGACAGACGGAGAGGGAGCAGGCTTGGGGACGGCACTCAGCTGAGCATGATTCTTACTTCTCGCGAATCCCATCCAGGCTGAAGGTTACTTCCGCTGCCATCACCCAGCTGCAGATCCAACCCTCAGACCAGGACCAGGAGCTAGTAATCAAGATCCCCCTGGACATGGTAGCTGGATTCAACACGTGAGTGACCCCTCAGTCAGGCAGTGGGCCTGACTGGTTGGTCCACTCAGTCTCCTCCCCCATGCAAGTATCTAAAAAAGATAGTCCCTAGAAGAGCAACTGCAAAGGTCCTGAGGCAGGGATATACTCATCTTGTCCAAAGAATGGCAAAGAGAAGGGTTGCAGCAGGGAGAGGGGCCAGAGATGAGGTCGACGGGCAACTGAGGCCAGATTATGCCAAGATTCAGGGGCCAAGGTCAGGCCTTGGCTTTCACTGAGATGCATAGGAGCCATGGAGGGTCTCAGCCCAGGAGGGGCAGGACATGGCCGAACATTCCTAACGCATCCTTCTGCAGACTATGGGGAAGGCAGACTGTGTGGGGGCAAAAGTGGAGGCAGGGAGGCCACCTAGAAGATACCACAACAGCTCAGGAGGGGATGGTGGTGGCTTAGACCAGGCCCAGTCAGGATGGCACTCAGGCCTTGGTGCTGCCGCCCCCAGGCCCCTGGTCAAGACCATTGTGGAGATGCACATGCAGTCTGAGGTGGAAGCCCGCATCAGAGTGGACAGCGAGCAGGTGGGCCCCTCGGCCCTCGTCCTCAGCGACTGCTTCAACAGACAGGGCACCCTGCGCATCAGCCTGCTCCGCAAGTGAGTATCTAGCCACGCTGGCTCCCCTAGACCCAGAGGGAGGCCAGGCCGTGGCCTGCTTCCATTTAAAGATGGGGAACACGAGGCTTAGAGAAAGAAGGGGACGGGTCCCTCCTGGTTCCTGACCTGGGGCTCCTCCCAGGGAATCTGGGCTGGGGCTCAGCGGTAGAGCGCTCGCCTGGCATGCATGAGGCTCTTCCTTCCTCCCTGGACTCTAGGGAGGCGCTTTCTAGCAGGAGAGAGGTGAACCTCCCTGACCCTCCCTGATCTCCTCACTCTCCTCTCCCCAAGGATCTCCTTCTGGGTCAGCCCCTTAGTGGATAAAGTCACCAGCCTCCTGATGCCAACACTGCCCAAACTGGTGAAGACCCAGGTGAGTGGCATCTGGCCTCTCTGGACTATGAAGGCTGCGCCCCCCTGTGGGACTAGGGTGGAACTGCAAGCTGGTGCCAAGGGGTTGAATAATTCCTTCAGTAAAGCTCAAGGGCAATGGATTGGACACTGGCCCAGCTGGCCCAGGGCAGTCAAGGAAATGGAGCAGCCGGGAGGCCTTGATCAGTGTTGTGCTGATAAATTGTTTAACGGTTTTCCCTGGAGGAGTTGAGGGGCGCCCTGATCTTCCTGATTTATCTGCTGGTGTAAATCCTCCCTCCTTTTAAACTACCAATGTGACGTCACTGAGCAGAGCTGGGCAGAGATGCACAGTGGCACATTTCCTCCAGAGAGCTAAAACAGAGGCAGCCTCAAGGGCAACAAATAATTGAAAAAGATAGCAGAACTCCTAGGGAATCGTGAGATTTAAAACTGTATTCTGTTCTTTTTTTTCGGGGAGAGAGTACTGGAGATTAAACCCAGGGCACTCAACCACTGGAGACTAAACCCAAGCCACATCCCCAAGCCCTTTGTATTTATTTAGAGACAGGGTTTTGCTGAGTTGCTTAGGGCCTTGCTAAGTTGCTGAGGCTGGCTTTGAACTCACGATCCTCCTGCCTCAGCCTCCCGAGCCGCTGGGCTTACAGGTGTGCACCGCACCCGGCTCAATTCATTTTAACATAAGTTTTTATTTTAAGTTTATATAATTGAATTTTAAAGAATGCCTGGGTTCAGCACCCACCTCAAAAATTCCTGAAAATTTAACAATTTCTCCTTAAACGTCCTTGCTGGCTCTAGCATGCCACTGTCATGCACCAATCTGGGTGGGTCAACCAGGTCCTGTTGGATTTCTTTTTCTGAGTCAGTAAGCATAGGGGACTTTCATTTACCATGCCCCTGATGTGTCACAGTTAAAATGAAATTTTGTAAATTGGATTCATCACATTCCCAGTGATTTCTGCTGTGAATGCCTAGATTCGTGGTCATGATGGTGGGTTACCCTCAGGGGGCCAAACACCTTGACAACCAGTTGATTTTTTTTTTATAAGACCTTTTTAATTGAAAAGATGGTATAATAGCTAAGGTGATTTGGGGAGAGAAATACCCATAATCCTCCCACTCTCGCCAGCCTCAGCAATTTAGTGAGACCCTAAGCAACTTGGCAAGACCCTGTCTTATAATAAAAAATTTAAAAGGGCTGGGGATGTGGCTCAGTGGTTAAGTGTCCCTGGGTTCAATCCCTGGTACCAAAGAAAGAAAGAAACAACCCTGGTTCTGTGAATGCAAGCTACTTTCTGCAGTACCTTATTGGAACAGGGTGAGGAGGGAAAGAGGCAGGAGATGGGAGGTTTTGAACGCGAGTTAATATAAATGTGCAGCATCAAAGTCAAGGCCAAGGTCTGTTGTTGTTAGAATTTTGAGGCTCCTATTTGTTAGCAAAGGTACGTACCCAGGGAGGGTTTTAAAGGGAACGTGAAAGTGAATAATTTCATATGATTGCCTTTTCTTATGTGAGGTTTTTTTTAAGCCCTTTATTTTTCTATGCAAAGGCAGGAATTCCTTTCCCCACACTCATTTATCTATTTACTTATAGCTGTACATACTGGTGGGGTTTGATGGGAGGTATTTGTACCTGCCCACAGTACAACAATGTAATCTGCCCAGTATCAGTCCCCAGCAGGTCCCCATCTCTCCCTTCCTCCCACGCCCTGGTCCCTTTCCTCTCTTCCACTGATCTCCCGTAGATTTTCGGGAGATCCTCCGACCCCCACTTTTTTCCTTTCTCCTCTTGAGCTTCCACATATGGGAGAAAAACATGCGACCCTTGACCTTCTGAATTTGGCTTATTTCACTTAACACAATGGTTTCAAGTTCCATCCATGTTCCTGTAAATGACCTAATTTCATTTTGCTTTCTGGCTGAGCAGAACCCCACTGCGCACGTAGACCACATCTGCTTGACCCTTCTCCCACTGAGGGACACCTAGGCCCTAGTTCGCTACTGTGAACCCGCTGCTGTAACCGCAGGTGGCATGGACCACCAGAGCAGGCGACTTTGATTCTTTAGATGAATGCCAAGGAGTGGTGTAGCTGGGGCCTAGGGTGGTTCCAGGGGCAGGAAATTCTTCAAGTGGGGCCCAGGTGCAAATTTTCCCCCAGCCTCGGGGGAGGGGGGAAATGTAACTAATCCGGCATTATATTTTAAAATCCAAGAATATTTTCCTCAAATTTCCTATTTAATACCTAAAAACATAGACAAGATGGCAAGAACTTGGAATTATAAAATGCTCTTTGCATGGGACCTGTCTGTGGCTCAGGGGAAAAGCCAAGTGTGGGAAACCTCCCGTTTATCACCGTGGTTTCCCACGTAATTCGCTGGCTCTGCCATGAGGGTCCCGTCAAGATTTTCTTTGGCATGAAGGGAGAGGCTCCCAGTCAGCGGGTGAGTGCGTGGAGGGGCTCATCTGGAAAATGCAGAAGCCCTTTTCCATCCATGTAGACCGGAGGCTCTCAGCCTTGCCTGCACCTCAGAGCCATCCGAAGGGTTAAATTTGGGGGGTGACTGGCCCCGCCCCTATTCAGATGCAATTGGCTTGGTGGGACCCTGTGTCCTAGAGGACTCTACTGTGCAGCCAGGGTTGAGACAGACTCTCGTGACATGAATTGTGGAATTATAGGAGAAAATGCAGAGGAGGCCAGAGACAGCGGATCCCCTGCTCTTCACAGGAAAGGTATCCCCAGATTACATGCTGGGAGTCTCTCAGCCGATTCCTCCTAAATTCTGGGTTGATAAAAGCAGACAGGAACAGGGAATAGTGATGCATAGAAAAAGTTACCATTTCCCCAAGTGCACTGTGGGCTGGGAGTGGTGCACATGACTATACTCCCAGCAACTCAGGAGGCTGAGGCAGGAGGATTACAAGGTGGAGTCCAGCCTCAACAAGTAAGCAAGAATCTCACTGTCTCAAAATAAAAAAGACTGAGATGTAGCTCAGTGGTAAAGCACCCCTGGGTTAATCCCCAGTACCAAAAATAAAAGTAAGAAAGCCCTCAGTCAAAATGCACTCATTCCTGGAAAGTATTAAGAAATGATTAACTAGGACAATGGTACCTAAAATAAAATGACCTCAACAATCTTGGAGCACCATCCAGAAAACAGGATGCCTCGGGGCAGGAAACAGGCCTTTGGGTCCCACAAGCTGGCAAGTCAAATATCCAGCCCCCTTAAGCAGAATAGGAGAGGCAGGGGCCTCAACTTGGTCCCACCAACACTCTCGCTGGGTCACACTGTCATGGGGGCTGAGCTGTTCCAGAAGGGACTTGGCGAGGATCTATTCTGTGAATAACCAAATTGTTTACTCCCTTTAAGGAAAACCTGTGAATGAGACAAGGCGCTCTGGGAGGGGAGCTGGACTGCCAGGCACACCAAGACACAGGGCAAAGGTCACAACACTGCCAAGGGTCCCAGGTGGCTCAGGGCCCTAGCAGTGGATTCTGAGCAGCAGGGAAGGCGGGGGAGTGGAGAACCGTGCTGAAGGAGCCCGTTTTGCTCTTACAGCTGTGTCCTGTGATCCAGGCAGCCTTCAAGGACATGTTCCAAGACTTCCTGAAGCTGGTGAGGGGTAGGTGCCCCGCTCCCTCCCCTAACTTTTCCCTGACCTAGGTGGGTGGCCTCCAGGCTCTGCCTTCCCCAGGCCTCCCCAGGCCTACCGGTAGAGGACCAGCAGGGAGGAATCCATGACTCGGCAAGGTTCTAGGGAGGCCTGTGGGACCCCTGATAAACCCCAGTTCAAATCTCTGCTCTTCCATGACCTTGGGGACGTCCACCTACTTATCCTCAGTCCTCCATCTGTAAAACGGAGCTTACATTCCCTACTTCATAGGACTGTAGGTGAGAATTAAAAGTTTACTGAAGGTTCCAGGAACATAGCAGGTGCCCGGCTTGGCACCCAGAGGGACTCACAAGTGCTGGCTGAGTGACAGATGGACGGGGCGGAGGGGGGGGCGGGTGGACAACACAGCGACCACCGTGTGCTACTAGAGAAGGGGAACAGGGAGGAGCCAAGACAGGCACCAGGGAGGGCGGTCACCACTCCTGCCCGAGAGCAGAGTTGGGGGGACGGGGCTTCTGCCCACCCCCATCCCGAAGTCGGCCCCGCTCAGTCCCCGTGGAGTGGGAATTGACAGGCAAGAAGAAAATTCTAGCACCTGGGATCTAAAGAGGCCCATTAAAAGGGCGGCCAGGGAGCCCTGGGCGAGGAGATGGACCGGAGGCGCTTTGACGCCAGAGGCCATCGGCTGAGGGACCGGCCGCGGGCGGCTGCTCTCCCTCGGCCCGGAGTCGCCCCACTTCGCACACGAGGAAACCGAGGCTCAGAGCAGTGAGGTCGTTTGTCCTGCCCCCAGGGGAAACCGGCGACAGGGGGGAGCTTGAACCCGATTCTTCCCATTGCCAGCGGGTGTGATGCAGTTTTGGTGGTTACTCATGAGATCCCGCTTTACCAGGAGGACACGGGGCGGGGCTGGGGCGGGGCTGGGGCGGGGCTGGGGCGGGGCTGGGGCGGGGCTGGGGCGGGGCTGGGGCGGGGCTGGGGCGGGGCTGGGGCGGGGCTGGGGCGGGGCTGGGGCTCCATGCAGGCGCGAGGCCTGGCGCCACGGGAAGGAAAACGGGAGGACAGACAGAGGGCCCTTCAGAGGCGGGAAGTTTCACCCAAGCTCAGACCCCAGTCTGTGTGGCTCCTGGCTCCCATGGTCAGAGTCAAGGTCAGAGATCCCAGGGGGCAGATGAGACGCCACCGCCACCTGGTGGCCATTTGGGGCATCCCGAGGCGAACGCCGGTGACCTGGTGTCCAGCTGCGCCCTGGACGGTGCTGGGTACAGTCCGGTGGGAGAGCGGAGAGTTCTAAGCAGCAGTTCAGGTTTGACGTAAGACAGACTGGATCCAAAGCTGCTCCCAGGACGACCGGGCACTTCGTGTCGCTTCTCTGTGCCTTGTTTCCCCTTGTGTAAACGGCGGTAGTAACAGCACCCACCTCCTCAGGTGACCATGGGGCTGACAGTTGACAGGTTTACAGGGTTAGCACTGGCACCGCACCCCGCCCAGTGCTCCCCCTCACAGATCTCTCTTCTCCCCGAGCAGTGCCCATCCCCCTGAGCCCGGGAGGCCTGCTGTTTGACCTTCTGTCTTCCTACATCGAGGGCGATGTCATCCAGCTCAACCTGCAGGTGAGCGTCACGGAACCTCAGAGTAAACCGGGACCTTACCGCTCTTCCCTGACCACCCAGGGTGAGACCGCTGGGGGAGAAGACCCTGCTCACTCTCAGGGCACACGGCCTGGTTTAGAAGTCACAGCAGCCTGAACAGGATTCTGAGGGAGAGGACCAGGAGGGGAACCTAAGGACCAGACACAGAATATGCACCCAGGAGCACTCCCGACCCTGACCCTGAACAGTCCTGCCCATCTCGGGACCTCTGGAAACATTGAAACCAGAGCTCAGAGTAGAGAGGCATCCTGGAAGATCACACAGACCTAAGTTTCCCAGCTCCGTGACTTCCTGGCTGTGTGATATTGGGCAAGTTTCTTCACCTCTCTGAACCTCAGTTTCCTTAGCTGTAAAGGTAAATACTAATAGTCACTGAGGAGAGAATAAAATGAGACCACAGAGGACCTGACAGGAAGTTCCCAGTAACTGTCCTCTAAAAAAATGGAGCTGCACACCCATCTGGGGGTGGACTCCCTGAAGGGTAAGGCTAACTGGGGTAAATCCCGAATAGTTCTGAGGAATCCTTTGGAGAATTGCAGCATCCAATATTTCCACCCATTTTGTTGCAATTTTGAGTTATCCCCTCATTGAAAGGATTTGAGGTGTCTGAGAAGTTGAAATATGTGAAAAATAAGATATTCCAATTGAAAGGCATGGCACTACATGCTTAAAGTCCCAGCTACTTGGGAGGCTGAGGCAGGAGGATCACTTGAACCCCGTAGTTCAGGGCCAGCCTAGGCATAGAACAAGACCCCAACTGTTAAATTAAAACAAAATCCAGAGATCATTCAGGTGGCATAGATATTGCCAGACCCCTGGCATAACTCAATGTCTACAGCAAGGCACTGAATTCCAAGCTAAGATTCCTGACAACAGATGCAAAAAGGGAAACAGGCTGAATGGTGTCTGAGTCCATTTTGTGTTGTGATAACAAGCACCTGAGACTGAATAATTTATAAACACTTTAAGTTTATTTTTACACATTGTCTGGAAACTGGGAAGTCCTAGGGCATGGTGTCAGCATCCGGCAAGGGCTTTCAAGCTTGCATCGCTCCATGGCGGAAGGCAGAAGGGCAAGACAGCAAAAGCAACAGAGGGCCAAGTTCACTTCCATCACAGCCCGCGCTGGCGAAAACATCAGTAACCCATCAGTCGTGACCTAATCGCCTTGTAGGGCCCTGCCTCTCAATCCTGTTGCCCTGGAGATTGTTTCCGACACATGAACTTTGGGGGACACATTTGAGTCACAGCAGTGTCATTTCCTGCCAGGTTGTCATTGGGCGAGCTGTGCAGTTCAGGTTCCCAACTCCCTCCTGCTCCGTGTCTTCTCAGGCCAAACTGCTGGACTCCCAGAGCAAGGTGACCAACTGGCTCAACGACTCTTCGGTGTCCCTGGCGATGCCCCCCCTGGACGGCGCCCCGTTCAGCTTCGTCATGAGGCAGGATGTCCTGAATGCGGTGGTGGCTGTTCTGCTCCCTCCGGATAAACTCACGGTCCTGTTGGACTACGTGGTAAGCCTGGGTGGGGACGGAGGGTGGGGCCCCTGCTGCGGCAGCGTCTGCTGGACCTCAGGGGACGCGAGGCTCCCTGGCCCCGACAGGTGTGGTGGTATCCCTCCCTCTGACCTCCAGCTCCGAGCGGGAAACGTCTGTGACATGGCGCTCTGGCCTGGAGTCTGAAGCACGTATTTCCTCTACCAAAGAGTCCTGGGGGGCGAAGGGCACTGTAGCTCTGAGTGGTCCGGGGACGGCAGTTCTGCCGCTGTTCCCCACTGTGTGACCTGTGGCGGACTTCCCTGACGGATCTGGCCCTCCTGGCCACCGAGCCCAGATGCCACCTTGGGATCAGCACAGAAGGCTGGAGCCCGGCCGCGGCCACCTCCTCGGCGGAGCTGCTGGGGAAGCCGAGGTCCAGCGGGAAAGGCTGGGCTGAGTTCTGGAGGGGGCAGGTCCTGCTCTGCGGACAGAGGACACATACCAAGTCCTCAGGGTCCACGCTCAGGATTCGGGGCTGGGACAGTGAACAGATGGTCAGTGGTCACTAGCGATCACATTTGTGGCTGCAGCAAGCACTGGAGTCACTTTTGTGCGTCTTCCGGGAGCAAGGAGTGGCCGGCAGACCCCAGCCACCACCAACCACGGCCGGAAGGTCACCAGGGACCCCAGGCCCCAGGGCGGCTGACCCAGGGGATATTTTTGCACCACTGACAGACACGTGGCCTGGGACCAGGACCCACCCAGCTTCTGAGGGGTTCTGGGACACCTTCCTCCCAGCAGTGGGGTGCAGCCCACCGCCCTGGCTTCCTCTTGTCCACAGCTCCCTGACCTGGCCAAGGAGCTGAAGTCGAGCATCAAGGAGATCAGTGAACAGGTGGGTCCGTCACACCTGCAGCCCCGTGGGTCTCGCTGCCAGAGGCTTCCAGAGATTACTGTCGTCTTTCCACCACTGGGGACGCTCACAACGGACCCCGGGCCCCCGGAGGGTTCTATCTAGTCAGGCCGTTTAGGTCAAAGGATTACACAGAGTTTCATCCCTGTGCACCTGAAGGGCGGGGGCTGGGGCCTCGAGAGGCCCTCGGAGGTCCCACGCTGTCTGCTGTCCTTCCAGGCCGCAGAGAAGCTGGACGGCACCCAGCTGGTGAAGTTCCAGACTCGGAAGACCCCCCAGCTGCTGCTGAGCCAGGGCGGCGCCCAGGCAGCCCAGCTGATCGTGTTGGACCTGTTTCCCACCAATACAGCCCTACGGCCGCTCTTCACCCTGGGCATCGTGAGTGTGGTTGTGTGTGGCACGGGTGGCAACCTGGGGCTCTCCTGTTCACCACTCTTGTCACCCGGAGGGGCAGCTCTGAACCAAGAGTCAGGAGCTTTGGGGACCCAACTCTGACCTTGTGACTTTATTAGTCAGGGATCTTTGGACAGAAACTCGACTCACATGCACAAAAAAGAGTTGTATTCACTCATATAACTGAAAGGTCCAGAAGGGATTGGCTTCAGGAATAGCTGGATCCAGGTGCTCAAGCAATTTCATCTTCATCTGTGCTGCCTCCGGCCTCAGGCAGACTGTCTGCTCGTGGAAGCACCCCCAGCTGCCTCAGGCCCCTATCAACTGCCCAGTCCCAGCAGGAGGAACTTCTCTTTCCCAGTAGCTCCAGCAAATGTCTCAGGGATGAGTCTCATTGGCTGAGCATAGGTCATGTGCCTGTGGAGTCTGGAAAATGAAATATGGAAATTTTGTGACGTGGAGCGCACACCAGCTGGGGATTGGAAGTTGACTCCATCGACACCACACGGAGAGAGGGAAGGATAAGTCCTCTCCCGATGTCTAAACGGGAGTAAATGATCTCCAAGGAAGTTCTTTTTTTTTTAGTACCGGGAATTGAACTCAGGGGCACTCACCCACTGAGCCCCATCCCCAGCCCTATTTTGTATTTTATTTAGAGACAGGGTCTCACTGAGTAGCTTAGCGCCTCGCTTTTGCTGAGGCTGGCTTTGAACTCGTGACCCTCCTGCCCCAGCCTCCTGAGCCGCTGGGATGACAGGTGTGCGCACTGTGCCCGGCTCCAAGGAAGTTCTTAACTGATGTCGTCAGCAGCCCCAGCAGTTCAGATCTCAGACACCTCATATTGGCACGTGGGGGGCGCTGGGGGGGACGTGGGGGTGGGGATCATGGAAGGACAAGCCTAGCAGGAGGCCCCAGGAGCAGGTGATTTATTGAAAGAAGCAGATCAGGGCAGGGGAGGGTCTGAGCAAAGGTGAGTCTCAGCGGGAGAGTGCACGGCTTGACCCCAGAAGGGGCATGGATGGCAGCACGCTGAGTCCCACTGAGGCCAGAAGGCAGCCCTTCTCACCCGTCGTCAGTCACCAGGGGCAGGGGTCACAGAGCCCCCAGCAAGGCAGCTCCATTCAAGCAAGGGAAATGCCCCAGGGAGGGGACAGCTGTGACCTCGAGTGGCCAACCCCCGGGGGCAGCGAAGGTCGGAGATGAGGCAGAACTCATGGCTGGCGCTGAGCAGCAGAGACCTGTGCCCAGCTTCACAAGGAGCCGGCCAGCGCCTGGTTGTTAAACGAGCCTCAGGTGACACTGTCCTTACAACTGGCTCTCCGGCACAGCCTGCAGTCAGCCCGTGTCAGTGTCATTGGAAAGTCCAGAAGCGAGGCCAGTCCCAGATACAGGGCCTAAGATGTGCATCTGCCGGGCACCATAGCGCACACCTGTGATCCCAGTGGCTCTGGAGGCTGAGGCAGGAGGATCTCAAACTCAAAGCCAGCCTCAGCCCTTTAGTGAGGCCCTCAGCAATTTGGCAAGACCCTGTCTCAAAATAAAAAATGCAAAGGGCTGGGATGGGGCTCAGTGGTTACACGTCCCTGGGTTCAATCCCTGGTACAAAAAAATAGAGAGATGGGCATCACCTTGACCCCTGGCCTGGGGTGGCCTGAAGGCAAGGGGTCAGCCCTGGTCTTTGTGAAGGTCCAGGATGCGTGCCCCTAGGCCGCCATGCCCGACCTGTGGACCAGCTCATTCCTGGGCCCCGGGCTCAAGTGGATGCAGGCCTGGGCCCCGTACTGGGGCTAGCGTGGCTTCTGGACAGTCCAGTGACACTGACCCTGGCTAACAGGCAGCAGGGCCTTCCTGGTCCTGTCTGTCCCCAGTTTCCTCGCCTGTGCCGTAGGGAACAGCAGGCCCCACCTGGCAGGGTGACAGGATCAGAGGAGAGAGGGACCAAGACCCTCAAGCTTTGCTGACACTGAGCAAGGGCCCATGCTCATCTTCGCCATCTTCGCCGTCATCCCTGAGACACGCTGTGTTGTCATCTATTGGGTGGGGACAGGGGAGACAAGTACTGTCCCGTTTCACAGATGTGGAAAGTGAGGCCCAGAGGGCAAACTTTCTCCCGAGGGGCCAGCCGCTGAGGTCCAGACCAGGTGTGCTGGACCCCAGAGCCTCCTCGGGTCCCCCCACCCCACACCCTCTTCAGAGGGACAGAGCGTGGCTTCTCTTGTTGCAGGAAGCGAAATCAGAAGCTCAGTTTTACACTGAAGGTGACCAACTTGTGCTCAGCTTTAATGACATCAGGTGAGGCGCATCGCCGCGGAGCTCCTACAGCCGAAATGAGCGCTTCCCCCCACCCCGACCGTGGGCCTGAGTGCCCAGAGGTGGAGCTCAGTGGGTGCTGCCCAGGCTGGGTGGCGAGTGCCTTGCTGGATCTCCTGCCACTGACCACTGAATGCAGGGGACAGGGAAGGACAGGGAAGGGCCTCCCAGCAGCCTCGGGGTGAGCCGGCCCTGCTCAGGATCGGCCTGCGGGGCACCGTCCCCAGGCCTCGGGCAGCCCAGACTGGACACCTCCAAGACAGCAGCAGTGACAGCCCTTGGAGCCCAGCACGGAAGTGCCTCTGTGCCCCTGCAGTTGTCCCCCGTCCCACCACCCTCCTCTGCCCTAGAGCAAGTTCAGGGTCGTGCACTGGAGCCTCACAGGATAAACCAGGCTCGGGGCGAGTTTTGATCAGTTCCCACGAGGCTGGAGTTTATAAATCTGCTGCAACATAGACATCAGACCACTTGGCCGCGCTGGGCTTGGCCTCCCTCCACAGCCACGACCCTGAACCCGGAGCAAGGGGACCTTCTAGGAGGCCTGGGCTCCCCAAGCCACCGGGGGTTCCCTGTGGGGCTCTTGTGTGTATCCTGGAGCGGCACCTGCCACTGAGGCCTGCGCCGCGCCTGGTACACAGCAGGTGCTCAGTAAGCAGCCGGTGGCCGCACGGCTGGGGTTCCCGGGGTCACCTCACGGGCACCTTTTGTTGCAGCGCCGAGCGGATCAAACTGATGAACTCGGACATTAAACTATTCAACGTAAGTATCCACAGTCGTCCCCAAGGCCACAGGGGCTCCCGCCAGAATGGCCCATTCTGCAAAGAGACATTGCCCAGGACTAGCTTCAGATGAGACCCCAACAGCTCGGGACCTGCGGGTCACCTACCCAAGCCCCCAGCTCTGTGGACGCTGGCTGGGCATCTGCTGTGTGGGCCGTGGGGACACCCCCGCGCGCTTTCCTGCAGCAGAAGTCTGACCCTGTGTCAGGAAACAAACCCCTCCACTCCCGGCCTCAAACCCTGCCGGACCCACCCCAGGAACCCGGGCAGCCCCTTCTCTCGGACCCCATTTGCCTTCGGGGTCCAGCTGCACCAGCGACCTCACACTCGCTGAATCTTCTCTGATGTTTTCTCTGATCTTTATGTTTTTTTGTTGTTTGTTTGTTTTTGTTTTTTGGTACCAGGGATCTAGCTCAGGGGCACTCAGCCACTGAGCCCCATCCCCAGCCCTATTTTGTGTTTTATTTAGAGACAGGGTCTCACTGAGTGGCTCAGCACCTCACTTTTGCTGAGGCTGGCTTTGAACTCACCATCCTCCTGTCTCAGCCTCCTGAGCCCCTGGGATTACAGCCTGGGCCACCGCCCCTGGCTGTTTTGGCCCGTGGGGCTCTGAATTCCCTAGAAGTTAGGAACGCAGGCAAGGCAGGGCCAGGTTCCCTTGGAGCATCTGATAGAGCGGTGGATGGAGCCCCGGGTGGGGTGCACCTGACCGTGCACCTGACCCTCCTCCTGCGGGGACCCTGGGCGGCCGAGTCCTTCTCGTCCCGTCTGTGCGGCCGCGGCATCCTCTGCAGCTCAGACTCGCAGGGGACCTGAGATTCCAGGGGCTCTGGCTCTGCCCTCACCCTGGGGCTGACCCGCACCCACTGGAATGGCCAGGAGGACCTGGGGCTCAGCCGGGGTGACAGGTCCCTTCTCTCTCGCAGCCTGAGCTTCTCAAAGACATCATCACCAAGATCCTCAACTCTGCGCTGCTGATAACCGAGAACGGTGCGTCCCTCTGCCGCCTGCTCCCCTCTCCTGTGTCCTCACCTGGGGTCCCTTTTCTCCATCTCCCACCACCTTCAGGTCCTAGTCCAAATCCCACCTCAGCCGCCCAGCCCCGCCCTTCACTAGAGCCAGTACCAGGGCGCAGGGACGGGCCTCGCAGGGCGGGCGGCACACCCAGGTCCTGGAGCAGACTCGAGGGGCAGCAGGCCTGGGTCAAGTCCTAGCCCCTCGTGCCGGCTGCCTGGTCTCGGACAGGCTGCTCGGTTCTCCTGAGCCTCAGTCTCTGCACCAGTGCAATGGGAGAGTCAGAGCAGCTCCCGAGGCACCATGCGTGTTGGGCAGCAGGGCCCGTCCACTGCTCGGCCTTTCCTAGCATCGCTGCTGCTGGTGCCATAGCTACGTCACCAGCAGGGGTAGCGGGAGAAAATGACCCCAAACCCCACGTTGAGTGGGTGGGAGAGTATGTGACCTAAACCAGCATCACCATTTTAATATCATTAAATTTTTTTCTTTTTTTTTGCACCAGGGATTGAACCCAGGGGTGCCTGACCACTCTCTGAGCCACACCCCCGGCCCTTTTTATTTTTATTTTGAGACAGGGTCTTGCTAAGTTGCATAGGGCCTCACTAAGTTGCGAAGGCTGGCCCCCAGCTTTTGATCCTCCTGCCTCAGCCTCCAGGCCTCTGGCGTTACAGGCGTGCACCAGCTTTAACTTCACTTTATTAGCCGTGGATGAGGGAGCCCATGAGGGTTCTTGAGCAGGAGGATGGAGGACGTGAGGGCTCACTTTGGGGCCACCGGAAGAGGTGCCAGAGCCTGTTTGGCACTGCCAGGCCCACCCGTGCCCCAGCCTCTGACCACATTTATCGTTCCAGGCAAACTAAGAACTGGGATCCCCATGTTGATAGTGAAGGCCTTGGGATACGAGTCAGTGACGCCGTGTGTGACCAAGGTGAGTGACACGGGACTGAGGGGCTGCCCTCCAGTCCCCGCCCTGCTGGTCCCCTGTGGGGCGACCTGGGCAAGTCCCTGCCCCTCCCAGGGTCCCCCCTCCTCATCTACAGATTGTCATTATTCATCCACTGCTCAGCCGTCAGTCGTTTCCGAAGGCCCACCCCACGGCACAGCTGCCTGTGAGGGCCGAAGGCCCCGGAAGTGAACCCGCCCACCCCCGTTTGTAGATACGTAAACCCATAAATATCTCACATCAGGCCAAGTAGGGAAGGGCCAAGAAGGAAAGTAGAGCAGGCTCAGAGGAGAGCGTGAGGCCAAGGAGAGAGGCTGTTTTAGATGGGATGGTCAAGAGGAAGTGGGACAGTGAGCCCTCTGGGAAGCCAGGAGGAGCATCCTGTCAGAGTGGACAGTGTGTGCAAAGGCCCTGAGGCAGAAAGGTAAGGAAGGAGGCCCAGATGTGAGGCAGCATCCAGGGTGTGTAGACCACACACAGCTCCTATGGCCAAATGGGCTCAGCCCACGAGCATCAGGATGACGTCTGTCCTGTCCATGCCTCTGTCCCCAGTGCTGTCAGCAAGGCCTGGTACACACTAGTTGTTCCAGAAATACCTGGGGAGCAAGTGACTCTCCCTGGCATCATCTGGGAGATGGGCTGTCACAGCCCTTACCCCAAACGTCACCCTTCAGCACCTCTCCTCATAACCCCTGCCTTGGACCCCCACCTCTGTATGAGCCACTATCAGTGAGGTGACCCTTTCTGTTGGCCAGCCAGCTAGCAGGCATTTATTAAGCACCAGCTGCATGTATGCACTGATCACAACAGTGGACAAAACAGTCAGAAACCTTGGCTTCTCTGAGATTTGATTCCACTCTTGAGGGAAAAATGTTGAAAACAGAATCATTAGCACTTAAGAAAACCCAGAGAGGACTTGTCCCCACCCCTCAGTGACAAAGTGTCCATCGTAGGGCTTCAGAGGTGCTTTGCACCAAACTCTGACTCTCATTGGCCCTGATTTGCCCAAAGCCATTGACCAGGACCACTGAATTCCGGAGTCATTTAACCCTGGAGAAGCCACAGAGTTCAGTTCATTATTCACATTAATGTCCACGTTTCCTGTCTTGCTCTGCCCGACCGTTCCCAGCCAGCAGTACCTCGATTTCCTCTCTATAGTTTCACAATGTCATGTATCTTAAAATCTAGTAAGAAGAATGAATAAAAGGACAGGCATGTTGGTCTGGGTAAGAATCCAGGTGATGAGTGGACGGTGTTCACTCTACAATTCTGCTTTACTGGATGTTTAAAATGGTTATAATAAAATCTTGGATGCCAGGCGTGGTGGCGCAGGCCTGTAATCCCAGCAACTCAGGAGGCTGAGGCAGGAGGATCACAAGTTTGAGGTCAACCCGGGCAACTTAGTGAGGCCCTAAGCAATTTAGCAAGATCCTGTCTCAAAATAAAACATAAAAAGGGCTGGGGATGGGGTTGGGCTGGGGCTCAGTGGAACAGTGCTCACCTGGCATGTGTGAGGCACTGGGTTCGATCCTCAGCACCACATAAAAATGCATAAAGATATTGTGTCCAACTACAACTAAAAAAATATTTATAAATAAATAAATAAAAGGCAGGGGATGTGGCTCAGTGGCTAAGTGTCCCTGGGTTCAATCCCTGGAACCAAAAGATAAAAAATAAATCGAGCTGCCTGACCCCAGTGGGTTCACAGCCAGGAATCTACACTTTATAAAACTTCTTGGAGAGTTTTGGTGGCAGGCAGGGCTTGGGGACAGCGGTCCTACAAGACTCACTGCACGTGGACACATCCCCTGTACGGAGACAGCTGTGCGACACAACTGTTCCCCTCTGGCCCTTCCAAGAATTCTGCAGGAGGGAGTTAGGGTCCTGTCCCCCCCCCCCCCGGGGCCAGCAGTCACCTCATGGAGACAAAACCAGCTCCAACCTGGGAAGGGCGGGAGGTAAAAATAAATCAACGCCTTGACTCTTCTTCTCCAATCCCAGGATGCCCTGGTGCTCGCCCCAGCCACCTCCTGGGACCTCCCTGTCTCCCAGTGAAGACATGGATGGCGGCCATCCAGCACAGGCTGGTCCCCAGCTGGGAGTGTCCCTCTCCATGATCAATAAACACTTCTCTGTGACCCCTGCTGTCTGGAGTGTGACTGTCCCAGCACAGGAGTCAGCCGTCCGAGCTACACCTGGGTCACGTTCAGGCACATCTGCCAGTCTGGGCAGCGCCTTAGCTGTGTCTGGGTGACATCAGTCCCCGTGATGATGGGTCAGCCGTCTTGACCACTCCCCGGGTTCAGGCGCTAGAAGGCCCCGTCTCCCCGCCTGCCCTCAACACATCTATGGTGGCCTTGTCTGGTGGGGACACACATTCTGTTGATCTTAGTGGCGTGGTGTGTCACGAGGCCCCAGAGGCAAGCGAACCAGGCTTCGAGTTCTGTTCTGGCCCCTCTTTGATCCTGAAATGTGGCTTCCCCTCTGTGAGCCTCAGTTTCCTTCTCTGTAAAATGGGGACAATCATAGTCCTGGCCTTGGAGGGTTGTGGTTCAGATTTAAATGAGAGAAAACAGTTGCATCAGGCACGGTGGCACTTGCCTGTAATCCCAGGGACTCGGGAGGCTGAGGCAGGAGGATCACAAGTAGGAGGCCAGCCCCAGCAACTTAGCGACACCCTGTCTCTAAGTAAAATATTGTAAAAGGGGGGGTGGTGCTGGGGTGTGGCTCAACTCCCAGTACCTTAAATAAAATGAATGAGAGCAAATAGTGCCAGGCCCACAGTAGGCACTCAGACAGTGTCATCTGTGGGTGACGCCATCGTCACTGTTGTTACTGGCCTTGAGGTACGGGGCCTTATCACCAAGCACCCTTCCCACTCAGGCAGTGGTGACTGCCATTGTCTCCCTGGCCCCCCGAGGCCCCAGGAGGTTCAGGACAGACAGTAGGGCCCCTGTTCTCCCCCGGGTACCCAGAGCGCTTCAGTTCCATGGGGGGCCTGACAGGAAGAGTGGCGCGGCGTGGCCTTGGGGAACGGCGTACCTGTTACTCAATCCCAGGACACACACACGAGAGGACCGCTCAGCCCAGGGCAGCCGGCGAGGCTCTGTCCAGTCCCCACGATGGGCCAGGCCGACAGGCACACGGACGGCCAGGGCCGGTCCCATGCCAGCCCCCAGTGTGGGCCAGCCCTGAGCAGTCCCTGAGCACCAGGCCTGTGCCCAGACCCAGGTCCCCCAGCCCCGCCACCTTGGAGGACCCGGAGGACCTTGCTCAGACCCATCACGTCCTGGTTTGGGGTTTTTGTTTTCTAAATCCTTTTAAATCTAGGTTTGAACCTCAAGGAGGCAGAGGTCCGTCTCCTGGTCTGGACAGGTCTTGTTGGCTCCCCGGGGTCCTACCAGATCCGTCCACCCAGGCAGGGGGCTGCCAAGGGCCTGGAGGAAGGGACAGGGTTCTTGTCTTTGGCCCCGTCTGGTCCAGTGAAGGGGCCTCTATTCCAGCCCAGAGGTGAGCAGCTCCACCCCACAGCCGAGCCAGGACGTGGGGGTCCTGCTCCAAGCAGCCATGGCCAAGGACCCCGGGGTCTGACCACACACGTCCTCTGGGACTTGCTAGGAGCTGGTGGATAAATGACCCCAGCATCTTCAGGAGAGGGACCGTTTTTCTGTATGGTCAAGGAACACACCAGCCACCCATGAACCCCGAGGCAGGAGTCCCCAGATGGGGACTCCAAGGCCCCGTCACCTTCCTGGGCCTGGGGGGAGAGAACGCCCCGACTTCTGAGTCTCAGCAGCCAGAGAAAAGAGCAAACACCAAGTGACGCTCGCACATCCTCCTGCGTCACAGAGACCACGGTCGTCCTGTCTCAGAGAAGACCTCAGGTAACGAGGTGGGGCGGGCCTAGCCCAGGCCTCACCCACAGCAGGACATTGGCCCAGTTTTCTTATTCCTGACGGGAGGAACGGGGACGGTAATAACTGGTATCACAATTAACGAGGGCTCTTGGGTTCCCAGCTTCCTGGGGGTTTACATTCCCATCTTACACATCAACAAACTGAGGTTCAGAGGGAATCAGTAGCTGGGCCCTGTACCTTCTGCGTCCTTCCCAGGGGTTCTCCGCATGGAAAAGACTCCCGGGAAACCTCCCTCTCTCTTTAGTCATTGGGGAAGCAGAGAGCCCTTTGGGGCTCTAAGGAATCCTTCCCTCCTCTTTTCTTTAGAGGTGAGATTTGAAAGAGGCACTTCCCTGAGCATCCTGGGAACGCTCCCCAGGGACTCAGAGGAGGCAGGTCCCCTGGGGGCCCTTCTCAGGCAGCAAGACGCCTCCTGACGGTGATGTTGAGACCCAGTCGACAGAAATCAGGGGACTCATCAACTCTTAGAGCATCCTCCAACCCAAAAGCCCGTGACTTTAGGCCTCTGAGATTCTAGAACAAGATTCCATCCAGCAGACGCGCTGAGTCACACTAAGCTTAGCCATTGCCTTTGCTATTAGCCAAAGAACCAGCTAACATGGACCTCGTGTGGCCGTCGCTGTCCTCCAGGACCCGGCCTTCCACCTCAGCCCCTCTGTCCTCGGTTCCTCCAGGAGTCCAACACCTGCCCTGGCTACATCCCTGGGTTGAGAAAGAACAAGGAATTGATCCCAGGGGACACCTACCAGCCGCCTACACACCTCTGCCAGTTGGGGACTGCACCACCAGCCGTGATGGTCAGCAGGGGGCGCCAGTGTCCCCACATCAGAGGCTCTGGCAGAGTCCTGGGGCTGTCAGGCGCAGGGACACCAAATCCCAGGTCACAAACCCCAGCTTGACCTCAGACATGCTGCACGACCTGGAACATGTCTCAGTTTCCTCATCTGTAAAGTGGGAGTGAAGCCATTTTTTAACCATTCCCATGTGCCAGGCCCCGTAGTGATAGCCTCGTGACCTCCCTCCAGGGGACACAGGTAGATTCACTATGTGCATTACCCGGCGAGGAGAAGGGGGTCTCGGAAGGAAGGTCGCCTGCCCACAGTCACACAGCCCCTGGACATCAGAGGCAGACTGAACCCAGAGACATGTCCTTGGGAATCAGAGTGAAAATTGTAGCTTGAACAACAGACGCGGAAAAGGCTTGGGGAGGCCCGCTGCTGGTCACCGGCGCCCCTCAGCCCCACCTCTGCGCCCCACCTGCTCTGCTATCCCTGCTGCACCCCGCTTCCTCACTCCTCGGGTTCCATGACTCTGTCCTGGGAGGGCTGCAGCCCTGGCCCTGTTTCTCTGCTGTTGATCCAAAGGGAAGTGGCCCACGTCCCAAACCACACGGCCCGCCCACTTCCTCCTGGGGGCTGCTGGCCCCGGGGCCCAGAGCCTGCCCCTGTCCTCCATGCCAGGTCCTATCAGTTTGGGCAAGAAGCCCCTTGTCACCCAGTGCCAGGAGGACCCTCCCTCCCCTCAACAGCTCCTCTGAAGGGCAGGGCCTGGCCAGGGGCTGGACTTCCTGTCCACATGCCCACCCCCCACTTCAGAGCTCAGTTATAAAAGTTGTCGGGAAGCTGGAGGCAGAGGCCGAGACCTGGATCCTGGGAGGCTGCACTCGGGGAGAGGTAAGGAGGAGGAGGCCAACACGGGCGTCTCCCCAACAAGGCTGAGACCTGGTGAAATGGTGCATGGCTTCTTAGTGCCAGGAGAGCCAGGTTCAGTCCCAGCTCTGCCTCTTACTCTGTCCCCAGGAGCAAGCCATTTCTCCTTTCTCAGCCTCAGTTTCCTCATCTGTAAAATAGGTCTGGACGTCAGTGATCCCATCTTGATGAGGACATAATGATTTGATGAAGCCTATAGAGTTCTTGGCACCCAGTGAGGACTCAAGAGGTCAGGACAGGCGTGGATGCCTCAGGAGGAGAGCTGGGGAGGGCTGGGCGTGGGGTGCGCAGGGCCAAGGCCAGGGAGTGGTGAACTGACAGAGAAAAGGGCCTGACAGAGACCAACTCAACGCTGGCTGGCAGAATGAACAGTGGCTGAGTTTAAGATCAGTCCGGAAGCCTGTGCAGCAACTTGGGAGGCTGAGGCAGGAGGATTGCAAGTTCGAGGCCAGCCTCAGCAACTTAGCAAGGGCCTGCCTCAAAATAAAAATTTTTAAAAGGGCTGCAGGTGTCACGGTGTGGCTCAGTGGTAGAGCACTTGCCCAGCATCCAGCATGTGAGAGACGCTGGGTTCGATCCCCAGCACCACAAAAAAAAAAAAAAAAAAAAATCATCCTGGAAACCAAATAGGAGAGTCAATGCCACAGCCACAAACTTCACAGACCAAGATTTGCATATTAATTTCTACTACCCAATTTCATCACCGAGTTGTGGGTTTGCTTGTGTTTGTTGGGGTCCTGGAGACTGAACCCGGGGCCACGCACACGCTGAGCGAGGTCCCCCAAGGAGCAGCCGGCTGGGTCCTAGAGCTCTCCCAGGCACTCACGAGTGGCTCAGCCATCTGGGGCCCTCCGTGCGCCTCCTCGGAGGTCCCTGCTCACCGTGACGTCTGCCTGGAGATGCCGCATTCACTGGGCTGCGTGTCGCTCCAGAGCTTGGCTTCCTGGTGGTGACCTCCTGCCTGCGGCCTCCGGGGGCCCGGCTGCTCCTTTTGGCCAACTGGGGAGGGCTGAGGGCCTGCTGGTTGGCACTGGTACAAATGCTGATTCACAAACCTGCATGATTTCCCTGCTACTTGGCTCCTGCCCCATCAGCCACGGTCACCTCCATCAGGACCCCACCCCTGGTTTCCTCACAATCCAGAAGCATCCAGCTGTGAAGGGAGCCCTGGGCCCGTGGACCCCTCACCACGGGCCGCCACGCTGGCAGCTGTGGGCGCTCGCTGTGTGCTTGCTGCACATTGTCAACAACCCGTGATCGTCCCCATTTTTCATATGAGAAAACTGAGGCAGAGAGGAGTCAAGGGACCTGGGCAGGCCAGACAGACGGGAATGTCAGAGCCGGACTTTGAAGCCGGCCTGCAGGAGGGGAAGGGCCCGGGCCAGAGCTGTGGTGGCTGTGTTCCAGGACCCGCGGATGGGAGCTGGGCAGGCAGGGGGCTGGGAGGACGGGGTCGGGGAGGCAGAGCCGGGAAAAGGGCAGCCAGTCGCCGGCTGGGACCTGGACGTTCTC